TCCATGTTGTTCTTGCTAGAACTGAACATTGTCCTGATTCTTCCTGCAGCAGTTCAGAGTTACTGGCAAAATCATCCAAAGTTATTTTATAAAGTGTGTTACTCATCCATTTAAAGGGGGCCACTGTTTTGTAGCTTACCTTCTTTTCAAGAGGGCATTTTGAGGTCATTAAAACAATTTTTTTTAAGTACCAAAAAAAAAAAAAGTAACACTATAAATACTGAATTCAATAGTTCTAAGGGATATTGATTTTTAACCAAATTTAAAATGCTTTCCGTAGTAGACACATAGTTTTATAATTACAAAAATTTTTATTGTAGAAACTTAACTCACTGAAAAATGTTTGTCAGATAAGTAATCAAAACATATTAACTAATACATGACTTTAGTCAAGTTTATTTTGGTGCTTTCACTTTGATTTCAAATGTTGGAAAGCACCAACACCTGTTTTCTTAAAGTTGCCACACAACAAGGCATAAACAAAAGTGTGATGTTTTGCAATCAGGGGTCCCAGTATATTCAGGATGGTTTGTTCAGCTTGTCACATGGCATACTGTGACAGACGACTTTGTACCCAGTCTCAGGGAATCCTCCCAGGGGACTCTGCTGTAGAGCCTAACCATGAAACAGAAATAAGCACAAAAGACCAACAAAATATTACAATGTCCAGCCAAGACTCCATTTTAGGCTCCCTGGTCCTAAGGGGCTCAAGCACACACACACTGGTGATTCCAGAGCTGAAATACTGCACTCCTCACAGACCTTTCAAAAGGAAGGAAAACAGGAACACACATGCAACCTTCCTAGACCCCCTCTTGTAACAATCTTTGGCAGTGAATTATCTTTAGTTTCATATGACTAAGTTGTATCCTTTTCATGTAATAAGCTACAGATTTTAAGTACAATCCTGTGGGTCCTGTGAGTTCTGATTTTTAGCAACTAAACCCTTTTCAAGTGCCACTTTTAGTGGAATAGTCTTATTTATTGTTATAGGGCAACAGCCATGGACATCTTTTCTACCCAATACCACTAATAAACTCAGAAACTTTAACATTCATTTCTTAAAACCAAAAATTCTAAATTGTCTCATGAATCATGGCCTTCTGTCATGTCAACTACAGAGTGATAAGGACCTGTTATTAGAAAATAATTATTTGCAAGGATAGCACACTTGCTAATAAGTTTGGTATTAAAAGTGAGGAAAAGAAACAAAATTACTGTTACCTTCATACTTTTCCAGAGCCTGAATAACATTAGGCAGTTGATTTATACCCTGATAGAGTCGGTAGCAATCTTGTAAATTTGCTGCTTGTCTTTGAAACTTCTTAGCAAGTCGGTTAAGATCTGGGAATCGACGAAGTAAATCTTCTTGTAAAGTCTGCCTCAACTCTGCATCTTCAACAAAAGCTTCCACCAAATTTAATCTGAAATAAATTGCATTAGAATTAATCTTAAATAATTTCAGTATAGGGCTTCCCTGGTGCACAAGGGGTTAAGTCTCAGCATTATGAAGCTATCAGCAGCCACTGCAGCGTAAGTTTAATCAGTCCTCAGCTAGGAAGCCGACCCACGTGGCACATCAGACCTTTCCTGTCTTGCCCGCTGCTCCACTCAGCAGAGTATTTCAGTCAATCTGACTGCTCTGTTCCCCACTCTGTCTCTGGTGAATCCTCTCACTGCCCCAGCACCTCTGGCCTCTACCCCAGTTCTTGTATGCATAAATAAATAAATCATAAAAGGAAAAAAAATTTTCTACCTTCTTCCCTGTGCAATTATCTTATCACTATTTTCTCCCAATCTAAATGGGACTAAATCATAAATAATCAATACTCTTCAGGAGGACAAAGTTCTAATAGGCATTTTAAGTAAAACAGGAAGGGAATGAAATAGCTTCTAAAACACCAAGCACAAGGCAATATAAACTAGCACCCTCAGTCTTTGGTCTGTATAGCATATCAAGAGCCTAATAAATTGCTGGTTTCACAAGTCTATTCAGTATGCTATTTCAGAAATAATTACAGTCTCAGTTTATGTTCTGGCTAACAGATTTTTTTTTTTAAAGACTGCTGTGCTGTTTCCATGACAATGCCACTTTCAACTCACAATTTTAAAAATAACAAAGTCATTGTTGGCATAACAGTATACTGTCAATCTTACCCAATAAAATTACCTGGTTGTAGAAAGCTTAATAGATAAATCTGCAAGTTTACTAGAACGCAAGGCGATTTTTTAGGGTCAGTTAATCTCCAAAGCTCCAATAATGTCATGAAATTAATCATGAAATGTTTGGTTATTTTAAAAATAAACATTCTTGTCCTTTTTTTTTTAAAGACTTATTTATTTATTCATACAGAACTGGGGTACAGGCCAGAGAAGCAGAGGGTAAGAGCAATCACCAGAGAAGAGTGGGGAGCAGAATAGGCAGATGATCAAAGTACACTGCTAAGGGGAGCAGCAGGTGGGTCAGGAGAGGTCTGCCTTGCCATGTGGATCTCCTCCAGGGCAGGTGGGGATCGAACTCAGGCGGCGGAAGTGGCTTAAGCTTCTTAGTGCAGTGCTTTAACCTGCTGCGCCACCAGGGAGGGCCCACATTCTTGTCCTTTTTAAAACAGCATTTAGCTGAATAAAATTTCATGACAGCATACTGATGTAGCTGAGAATAAATGTGGTACCCAAAGAAGTACAGCTGTGAGTTTTCTTTTTTTAAGAATTACTTATATGTACACGAATTGGGGCACAGGGGTGGGTGGGGTGATAAGAGTCACGAAAGACAGAGCGGGGTTAAAAAACAGGTGGACTGACTGAAATCCACTGCTGAGGGGAGCAGCGGTGGGACAAAAGAGGCCTGTCACCCTATGTGGGTCACCTCCCTAGCTGGGGCTAGAACTCACGCTGCAGTGGCTGAGGACAGCTTCACCGTGCTGTGCTTTAACCTGCTGTGACACCAGGGAGGGCCCTGGTGTTATAAGTTTTTAAGTCTCTTATTTATTTATTTTTCACAGGGTTTAACACAGCCAGGACCATTCATTTGATAGGTTAAGCAGCAGATATTCTACAAGGAATGAGAAGATTCTAAAATGGAGCATGGCATGATATAAAAGAAAGGAGCATGCTTTCAAGGACTATCCAATCCAGTAGAAAAGGATATGTGCCATCTTACAGTTAGAGCTATGTAACAAGATACAAAATGCAATGGAAGGTAAAGTGAACCAAAAACCCCCAAGAAATTCCTGTGAGAGCTGAGAAAAACTTTACTTTGTCTTTATCCTGAACAATTGCAACTTATAGACAGGACTCTGCGGAGAATATTTGGGAGAGAGAAGGTGGCCGCAATGGGAGAGATTTTAAGACAAGCGCTGGAAGAAAATTGAAGCAGAAAACCAACAGGAAAAATCTATAACCAGGGGCCTCCTTCGTGGTGCAGGGGTTAAAGACAGCACTATCTAGCTATGGCCAGGCACTGCAGCACAAGTTTGATCCCTGGCCAACCAGGGAGCTGACCCACATGGCTCAGCAGACCTCTCCTGTTTGCCCACTGCTCCCCTCAGCAGTGGATTTCAGTACATCTGCCTTTTGTTCTGCTCCCCACTCTGTCTCTGGTGAATCCTCTCACATTCCCCACCTCCCACATCTCTGGCCTATACCCAAGTTCTTGTATGCATAAATAAATAAATCTTAAAAAAAAAAAATCTATAGCCAGAGGTAAAATGTGAAGGTTAAAGCACTATTTCTTCTTCTGAGAGATAAGGAATAAAAAAATGAAGATAAAGATATATTTTGGGCCCTCCCTGATGGTGCAGCGGGTTAAAGCACAGCACTAAGAAGCTAAAGCCACTTCTGCATGAGTTCGATTCCTGCCCACCCCGGAGGTGACCATATGGCGTGGCAGACCTCTCCTGACCCGCCC